AAAGGCCAGAGAATATGATAGGCTAGGTTTCAAGATGTCTGGAATTTTTTGTGAGGTGATAGCCTCAGATCACCTTCATCCATCAGGAGACACCAGGAGCAGATGACTTAAAATGCACCAGTGATCAAGCTGATCATGTCCCCACCATTGTAATGGTCAGAGAAGATGATACACCAATTTTCAGGATGTCTAGATTTTTTTGTGAGGTGATAGCTTCAGATCACCTTCACCCATCAGGAGACACCAGGAGCAGATGACTCAAAATGCACCAGTGATCAAGCTGATCATGTCCCCACCATTGTAATGGTCAGAGAAGATGATACACCAATTTTCAGGATGTCTAGATTTTTTTGTGAGGTGATAGCTTCAGATCACCTTCACCCATCAGGAGACACCAGGAGCAGATGACTCAAAATGCACCAGTGATCAAGCTGATCATGTCCCCACTATTTGGAAGGTCAGACATGATAATACACCAAGTTTCAGGATGTCTGGAATTTTTTGTAAGGTGATAGACTTAGGTCACCTCCAGTGATCAGGAGGCACCAGGACTAAATCATCTTGGATGCACCGGTGACCAAGCTGATTATGTTCCTACCATTGTAAAGGTCAAGAATGATGGTGCACCAAGTTTCAGAGCAGTAGGAATTTTTTGTGAGATCATAGACTGAGAACACCTCCTGCTATGAAGAGACACCAAACCCAGATTATGTACTGGCGAGTATACTGATGATGTCCCTACCATTTTAAAGGCCAGAGAACATGATAGGCTAGTTTTCAGGATCCCCAGAATTTTTTGTGAGGTGATAGACTCAGATCATCTCAACCCACCAGGAGACACCAGAGCCAGATCACTCTGGATGTACCAGTGACCAAGCTGATCATGTGCCCACCAGTTTAAAGGTCAGAGAAGATGATAAACCAAGTTTCAGGATCACAGGAATTTTTTTCATTGCTATAGTTCACCCCCTCCTCCTCTCACCTAGGGCAAATGTCTGAATGTGGTTATCATCAGATGGAGATACCAAATTTACCTGATTATAATACTTATAGACCTATATGCAAGTGATATAACTCCCTGTAGATGACATAATACCTGTTGAATATGGTCATGGAGTGGTATCACCTTCCAAACAGTAAAATGGACATAACTCATGTTCCTGACCACCAAATTTTATAAAAGTGAGTGGAACACAATCCCAGTAACACCCTCTATCAAATGAGATACTCATAAAACAATAAAAATGTGACATGTTTTATATAATATTCAGCCATACGGTGTATAGACCTTGGAATCGCTGTGCGCGCGGACTTATTTGTACCCAGCTGCACATGGTGATCGTAGTCTTTTTCGATAGGTTATCACGATTGAATCATTCACTGTACGTGCATCGATTATGCGCATTTGCTCAGACCGTGCAACGCTGCACATAGCTGGAAGAAATCCGCACAATCGTCAAGATTAAGTAATGTTTTTGCCTTCTTGTTCGTCTGTAGCATCTGTAGCAGGCTCAGTTAGCAGTGCGAATGTAAGATCGACTAGTGGTGGTGGCGGTACCTGTCGCTCAGGGAGATCTTCAACTTTATGTGAAGTTGCCTTGCGCTATGTGATGTCTACATATCATTCTGAGCAGTTTGATGAAAATGAATAACAGCAGAAGGTGTTTTCACCAAACGGTCTTTCCCATCCCGGACTGGAGGTGGCAATGAATCGAACATCTGCGTACATCTACAGAGATATTGGCTCATTGTGATGTCGACATACTGGTGTCATATGACACACACATGGATTCAGTGACTAGTAAGCCACCTATGAATGATGCATCAAGGGAGACAGACAATATATGTGCAGCGCAAAGTGAATCAGGCGACTACTTCGAATCCCCATTTCTACACATTGAATACATTAGGCAAGCTTGGTCTCAATGTCTCTCAGTGTTCCCGGAGAACAAAACAATGCTGAGAACAGCGTTCATCAGAACATTATCGGACAGCACGTTCACACATGATATTGAGGTGGACTTAATATTATCGAGTACAGAAATATAGAACCACAGCACAAACTAGTAGATTATGGAAAGGGTAAGATGTGGATAAAGTGTGAAAATACACGAGAATATCACCACGTTTTCCGCCAGACTCTCTCGTCTGGTAATTTGTCAAAGGTTACAGACTTTGCTATCATTATAGCGACATTTTCCCATAGAATATACCCAGAATTCACAGAGATTTCTCCTGGAGTACTTGATGGATGCAGCTGCTATATTCAAAATATTGTTTGATAGCACGCTAGCTTCACGCTCGTCCTAGCTGCAGCTCATTAATATAATATATTTACAGTATAGACATTATGGGTATACTATATAGCAGAGTACGACTGATGTTTGAGTGATATAATGCATTCGAAACACCCGCCCGGCCAGTACTGTGCTCCGCAAGTTTCGACTCGAGAGCTTTTGATGAGAGTGATCAAGATGGTGAGTGCCTAAGCTGGAGAAAAAAGAAAAATGGGGGCATCAGCTTTCAGAATTCATTACTCGTGTAGACATCTTACTGGAAGTGTCAAGTCTGGGCGTAAAGTGGAGAGCCCTACTGAAATAAAGTGAATATATGCGCATATTGTCAACCACATAACACACCCAATCGATTTGCGAGATCAGTTCCGGTTAACGAGACTCAATGCGAGAGCATGGCGGCGGCTGCGTGTGGATGGTTGATGGATAGGCTAGGTGACGTCACAGAGGACTGAAAGCATTCAAGTCAGAAGAACAACTCATTGAGAAATGTTGACAACGTACATGAGCTGTGGCCGTCTCGCACATGATCACACGTTGAACCTCAGAAGTCGATAAGCTCCTCGAGCTGAGCGGGACATTGTAGTATAACATTAGCCCTGAAATTGGTCAACTAAAATGTCACGTACATTGATAACGAGTCGTTGAGTTGTTGCATCTGTGACTCGTGAGGGGGATTAGCATGATAAACAAGAGCTTCCCAATGTAACACCACCAGCAATTGTGTTTGCATTAAGGATCCTGGTGCGCGGTCATGGTCGAGAGTCGAGAGCGCTGGGGCCAACCAGAACAAAATCGCGACTAAGTCCCATATTGATCAATATTTGGGACACAACGAAAGGAAAGTTTGATTGTATTTTCAGATTCTGTTGAAATACCACAGGGTGTATTTTTCATTCGGGGAAATGCAAGAAAATTACTGGAAAGTGTCAAATTGCACTGTGTTTCCCAGAAGCAATAATCTACGTGTTTGTGCTGTGTTACATCTGACAGTGGTCTTTTTGCAATTTCGTTAAGAAGACCTACATGGCTTGAGCTCAAGTTATAAATCTGAGTCGATGCAAGGAAACGGGTCACACAGAGTGGGAGATAGATTTCATTTTTTTTCCTGCCTCAAGGAGCGAAGATATGATAGCAACGAGGTAAGTAAGACACAGAAAGCATTGTAGATAACTGCTGTGAGGCTCCCATGGGGAGCGAGGACGCGAGAGTAAAGAGAGGAATGAGCTACAGAAAGCGCTATAGCAAACTGCTATGTTGCTCCCATGGGGAGCGAGGACGCGAGACCAAAGAGGCGGATGAGACACAGCAAGCGTCAGAGCGAACGGCTCTGTTGCTCCCATGGGGAGCGAGGACGCGAGACCAAAGAGGCAGATGAGACACAGCAAGCGTCAGAGCGAACGGCTCTGTTGCTCCCATGGGGAGCGAGGACGCGAGACCAAAGAGGCGGATGAGACACAGCAAGCGTCAGAGCGAACGGCTCTGTTGCTCCCATGGGGAGCGAGGACGCGAGACCAAAGAGGCGGAAGAGACACAGCAAGCGTCAGAGCGAACGGCTCTGTTGCTCCCATGGGGAGCGAGGACGCGAGACCAAAGAGGCGGACGAGACAGCAAGCGTCAGAGCGAACGGCTCTGTTGCTCCCATGGGGAGCGATGACGCGAGACCAAAGAGGCGAATGGGACAGAGCAAGCGTCAGAGCGAACGGCTCTGTTGCTCCCATGGGGAGCGATGACGCGAGACCAAAGAGGCGGACGAGACAGCAAGCGTCAGAGCGAACGGCTCTGTTGCTCCCATGGGGAGCGATGACGCGAGACCAAAGAGGCGGATGAGACACAGCAGGCGTCAGAGCGAACGGCTCTGTTGCTCCCATGGGGAGCGATGACGCGAGACCAAAGAGGCGGATGAGACACAGCAGGCGTCAGAGCGAACGGCTCTGTTGCTCCCATGGGGAGCGATGACGCGAGACCAAAGAGGCGAATGGGACAGAGCAAGCGTCAGAGCGAACGGCTCTGTTGCTCCCATGGGGAGCGATGACGCGAGACCAAAGAGGCGGATGAGACAGAGCAAGCGTCAGAGCGAACGGCTCTGTTGCTCCCATGGGGAGCGATGACGCGAGACCAAAGAGGCGAATGAGAAACAGCAAGTGTTAGAGCAAACCGCTAAGGGTGTGGGAGGAAAGAGAGAAATGAAACACAGCAAACGCCAGTGCAACAGAAGAACCTAGACACGGCGTAGAACTCGTCATCATGGAGGTAAAGGGAAAAGAGTATCAAGAGTGAACACGTCGCATATGCGAAATTTGAACATCACATCACGTGATGTTCTCACGCCACGTCTGAGTTCGAACCCGTAGACTTGAACGTGCTGGAAGGGCACAACAATCCAATTGACTTTCATATGTCACTTGTCAAATATACTGTCATCTGTCTGTCTGTCTGTCTGTCTGTCTGTCTGTCTGTCTGTCTGATGAACGCAGAGTCCAGTAAACTAAGTAGAGTCCTAGATGACATGGTAGTAACTAGAACAACAGTGGTTCATTTGTGTTTGCTAAGCGGGTCCATCGATACGATCGTGCCATACATGTTTCATGACAGATTGCAAGGACGTACACAAATCTCCACCATATGCCTCTCGAGTATAGCGCGAATACGAGTACACATTCTCCATCACAGCGATTCGTTAATCCTGTTTGCTGCCCAGACGTTCTACAACTGTAGCGATTTTGTCAATACACGGCGAAGGTCCTCCCTGTCCACCAGATCGCCGGGGATGAACTGATTGCCCTGGTATAGGATATGGCTTCCTGGTACCCATACAGATGATCCGAAATACTCAAGTATGACGTCCGATATGTCGATGCTCGGCTGTGCAGTCTCAGTATCACGCACAGACCTTGTGCTACTTCCCTTTGCGCGATACTGCCTTGCCCTGGTCGCCATGATGCAGAGACTGAGTAGCGGTCGCTTGAATAACGCTGATCATTCCGTGAGTTTCAGATGCCCGTCCAGAGACTGAAACCTCACATATTTGGGGGGACAGGTAGGGAATCGCAATGACCATGCGACGAAGTGTCTCTAACGCATGCTCAAGGACCTGGTTTGTTGTGGAGTCAGCTACTTCAACGTCGATGTACCGGGCGAGTTCGGTGAGGTGCATGCAAGCATAATGGTAGAAGTGGCCACCTGTAGCAAATGAGGCAATGGGCGTGTATACCGCATGCATCGTGCAAGGTGGCTGTATTCTGGATATCGTAGTTGACATTAGTGAGATCGCTGAAAGATGATGGCTGCCTTACAACATGTCGCCAGCTAGGAGGGTTATCAACTCAGCGTCGCAGTGTTGCTTCAACCACGCCTTGTGCTCTGTGAAGTTGACAAGCCGTGTTGCAATATTTTGAATATGGCTGCGATCTTCCCGTCGATCCTTGGGTCTGAATATCACCCAGAACTTGGCCCCAGCCTCCATCCGTACCCATGTTAATGTGCCCTCCGCATCGTGATGTGGATAAGTCAGAAATCCGGCGTGATGCAGCATGCCCCATGCCTTGACCGTGAAGTTTTCAGGGTGGACTTTTGAAACGATCGGAACACTATGGGTCGTTTGATTCCAGCCGTGCACGAGCCCATGATCGATGTTCCTGGAAGATTGTCGCAATATGACAGGGTGTTAACATAGACAATTGTAAAACTAACCTGAGAGATTTCGGTATCGCTGCTTGCGCGAGTGGCAGGTCGAGGATGGATTGTATTTTTGTTGGGTCATCCATCGACTCGAAGAATGACTTGATCGTGCCAGATGTTGTGGGGTGGACATGATCTATCGATCGCATCATCACATCTAGAATCGATTAATCATGCAGCGTACATCAGGCTTAAATATAAATTTCACCGTGAATGCACACAGGACGATACGGAGAGATCGCGAAGTGTTCGTCCAGGTATTCCGCTGATAGCTCTCCATCTACCATATCATGGGGCACACCTCTGATTACAACTGGCATGTTGGAGCCCAGCGCACTCCCGACGACGTCGACGATGTCCGCTCGCCCAAGCGCTTCTTCATTCAGGTGCAGAACGTTCTTTGAGGTCGACAGAGAGATTGGAAATTCGGCCATGAATTTGATAATGGGAATGTCAATGGCTTCGCAAACATTGACGTTCGTGTCACTGCAAACCATTGGAAGAACAGTGGTATGACCATTCTTCCATCTGAGATTCTGGCTTTCCATCGGGACCTGCGTGCCCAGCAGCCCAATCGTTAGATCAATACTTGTAGGTGACATGAGAGAGAATTGTGGCGTTGAACATAGCGAACGGATGGATGAAAATGAGGTTGTTTACCTAATTTAATAATATGATAAGTATTCAGGCAACCGAAATATGACGTTTGACATAATGAATCTGTTAAATGGGCGACGATTGAAATCCCACACCTCAACGAAGATTCAATGGTAATTTTTATGCTTTGTCGGTCATACCCTCGATGAGAAATAAAATACAGGCGGAACATACACATTCAATCAATTGCAGCATTGCTATATATCGACATGGTTCGAATACTAGGTAAGGACATCCACGAGCGCGATATTGGTATTGTACAATCATCTAACGTATCGGTCTAACGTTGCTGAGTGGAAATTGATCAGGTTGTATCTTTAGCTGGGTGGAGAGATCATGTTTTCGAGCCAGTCCTACAGAATTGGTGAGTCGTATCGACGAATGACACATCAGCTCACATTGGCATTTGCAGCGGTTGACGACGATTCCACGACAGCAATGGAATGTGTGATAGACGAAGGATCAGCAGCAACAGAGCTGAAAGATTGCTCATGATCGACATCTCCGACAGCATCGATCTCGTCATCCTCTCCACTGGCGTTACCGACGTTGCGAATGGCAGCGTCCGATGCGTGAGCCTCGGGGGTAGATGGTACCAAGACTGTCGATGTGACTGAAGCAGTCGATGCGACCAAGACAGTCGATGACGGGATAGGAGGTACCGACGCAGATCGTGATTGAACGACTGGCTTCGGACGCTTCGATGGTCCACGACCACCATCTTTCTGTACGGTGTGATGGCGAGAGAAATCATTAACACAGGACGACATACCTTTGGTGGCGATGACTGAGAAGACGTTCTCTTGCGCTTCCCGTCATTGAGGGCACTCTTATCAAGTGACTCATCGAACAGGACCCCATCACTGTCAATGGCCATTTCGTGCATGGCATCTGTGACTATGCCCTGCTCGTCAGTCGTATCTCCAGCCGTGTCGTCATCCACCCCGCTGTTGAGAGGCATCCATGGTGCAGAAATATCCGACATCATGCTGATGCTGATGTCAGTTATATATATATATAGTTCGGTCAGACATACCCGATAGTGACTGCTGGCGGTGAGCCTACAGCCAAGTTGTTAGAGCGACCATCAGCATCGTCCGCTGAAGCGAGCGACCGTCCAAGTCTGTGCAGGAGATATCTCATGTATCTAGGACGTGTGTCGATGTGAGCGATAGCGGAATACAATCGCTCCATTCCAAGAGCCTCATAAAAGTCGTTCTCGCTATTGAAGTTCATCCCCCTTGGACTTTGCGGGATAACCAGGCCATTGAGATCGGCGTCCATGGGGATCATCGCCAGCTGCCGAAATCGAAGAAGCATCCACGCCCCCAACTTTAACAAAATCTGCGAATTTCCTTCGTCGAATGCGATCTGGTTCCAATCCTCCCAGTTCTCTAGCCAAGTAGGTAGGATCGTATCGTCTAGCTCCTCCAAGCCATCCTGCGACATTTCAATGTCAGAGAGATCATTGCGCTAAACGTTGAGAAATGTCAGTAGCATTCCAGTGAGTTCGTCCAACAAGTACCTCTGATGCGTTCCCAGAATGCGACTCAATTGCACCATGACCTACTCCGAGGTCACTTGCAGACACCTTCGCAGTCGCTGTCGGGTGATCTTCTTCTTCTTCGTCTTCAGACTCTATGATGCGGTTACCTCCTTTCTTCGACCCAGAACGCCTCGCTGTGAGTTTTGCCTTCGAAAAAGTCGATCAGTCTTTTGGAGCGACATAGGGAGAGCAAATCCTACATCCGCGTCAATTTGAGCAACAGTGCGAGCGTCTACATGCTGCTCCTCCTCAGACTCAGCCTCAAGAACTGCATCTTTGTTCTTCCCCTTTCGCGTGGGACGCTTGCCCTTGGACACGGCCTTCCGGGGTTTATATGTCTTCTTCGCATCTGCCTTGCTTTCGAAACGATTAGCGACTCGTTCAGAGTGGCTTTCCTATAGTGGATCATGAAGATAATCAAAGCGTCTATAAAAATATCGTACCTCCTCGTCGGATGCCAACAATGAAGATCTAGGCTGACCACTGCCAGATGCTGGCGTTATAGACTTGCGAGGACCACCCTGTCCTGATTTCTTCGACTTCGCACCGGATATCCGTTTCGGGGGATCATCCTGCAAGTCGACCACCATGTTGTCAGATGAGTCTTGCGCATTACTAACAGACTGCGCAGTGGCCTTTATGTTCCTGCCCTTCAGTGACTTCGATTTGGAACCGCCCGACGCATTCTGAGGAGGCCTTTGTGTGATTTCGACCGAAAACGAGGGAGTAGGATTGTCAAAACGTACGACTTTCTCCTTTTTGATTTCGACCTCTGGCTCGGATTGAAGGGTCTGAATGGTATCAGCGATTAACGCGGACTGCTCGCGCGTATGCTCGAATGGGCCACCACACATGTTGTCACCATTCAGGCAGAAGGCCTTGTGCATTCCAGCACCTGTCACTGGAATAGAGATCGCATCACATACTTATACTTCTACGTTAGGATGATCGATATATCACTCACGCTCTTGTACCTTTTTGAACGTTCTTTTCTCCCTGAAGTGATTCCAGGAGCGCTTCATCGCTTTCAATGCGATCGTCTGTTGCTCCTGCGTAAAGGCATTGCCCTCCAATGCGAGGGCAATATGAAAATCCAAATGCGCAGACCTCCACTTCGTGTTCGAGCTCGTTGTATTGTCGGTCCCCAGCTCTCCTTTAAAAGCAGTTACGATCGATGCTAGGTATTCAGCGATAGAAATGTAGAGTTGCAGTTCATTGTCGACGGCGTCTGATTTTGGAAGATCGCGCAAGGCCATCGCGGTAGATTGGTATAGATGGAGTTGGTGGACGACGAGCCTAAGTGCGTCGACGCATGCATCGGGAATCTCGACCTACGAATTCGACGGGTGATTCTAAATCACACTATTATTATGGAGCATAGAACGTACCGGTGTCACTCCTTCACCCATTGCTAATAAAACCCTATTGTTCTCAATATCCAACGACGCTTCATACGATAAAACGACATTCGTGAATATCTCAGGGTAGTCTTTGATTTCCAATGTGAGTGCATCTACTGTTGGGAAAATTGATGCGTGAGAGCCGGTGTTGGAAGCCATCGATGATCTATTTTGTCATGTACAAGAAGGTACAAGTTGTTGTCGTGGCGCATTTGCGGACGTGGGAACTAATGTCCAATCTTGCTTGTTGCTTCCGAAACCACGAAACCAAGATCCGATCGGCTGATAATCATCAGGATTTAGAATGGAGCGGCCTCGCGGAGTGAATCTGGTTGCAAAATCGATCCAGTACATCACATTATCGATGGACGATTATCTTGCAACTTTGATAATCGTATTGTGACGACGGATGCAGCAAGACGCTTGCTAGCTGGCCGTGATATTATCAATACATTATGTTATGGCATTAAAAAATGATGACGATCGTAATTGGACAGCACTAAACATGACTAAGTTGAGTAATTTACCAGAGTCGCTAGCGTGGGAAACCAGGTTGATTGTTGTCTGGAGCCACACACCATCCTGCTGTTGTTAAAAATGTTGAAATCAAAGCACTTTAAGGCGACCAATGCAGCAAGTGCCTCGACCATCGCACCAACTCAGACAGCGTCAGCAGCAGCATCGGGCCATGCGCGTAGAACGAAAAATCAGCCAAGCGCTACGCAACAGGTGGCATCAACTACAAAGCGCACTCGCCCAAAGGCTGATTCCCTCAAAGCATCGTATGTACGATTGGTTCCAATTGTCGACGATGATGGTACTGCAATGAACATCGATGATGCACATATATCGACAAGACAACGTCATCAATCGACTGACACAGTCAAGGATCCAAAACTCGTATGTAGCTATGAAATTGAGATATTGAAATTACTGACATCCATATATGGCATAGTGTTGTATCTATTGTCATGATGTTGGATCGTTTATATGGAGGTG